ACATTGATATTTGCGAATCAATTGCATTATTTATCTCATTAATATCAGTAGGTTCTGTGCGAATTGTTATGTTTTGAAAATTTGGAAGATGCACAGGTAAACGAATAATAGCATGACTTTTATCGTGCATTGGTGACTCGAAACCAAATCCCCCAAATGGATTCTGCTGGTCCTGCATATCGTGCATTTAAATATTAAATAATTTCATAATGATTAATAATAAGGACATTAGAATTAATTACCATGACAGAAGCTGCATAATGTCCTTTGTGAAGATATTTATGTAAATATTTAACGGATTTCATACGTGAACTAACTTCTACATTAATATGACATTTAAGCTTCGAAGATAATACTGGGGCATAAAGCATTTGTTACGTGACAGTTTTGATGTCTTTACAAAACGGGCACGTGTTAGACCGTTTTAGCTCCGAGTGGTCCTGACTCGGGTGGATTGAACCTTCAGTATGGTACCCCGACCGTGTCAGCGAATGGATCGCGTTTTCGCCGATAATATCCGAAATTCGTCCGCGTGAGCGGTAAGCGAGAGTAATGGGAAAAAGGGGGGGGCCTCGCTGGTTTATTAAAATGAACTTACACGGGTACGTAAGATATATTTATATATATTTAGATATATAAGATAACATGTCTAGTAATGATATCGGACTACTATCCAATTCAAATAAATATCCTAAAATACGCGGTCGGTCGTCGTTACACACCTGGTCCCGGTACGCAAACAAATGGATTCACCGAAAGGGGAACCTTGAATATGGTGAGTAGTTATCGAAATAAAGAGAGAGAGGAAAAATAACAAGGAAGAAATTTCGTTTTATCGAGAATAGAGGGCGGAAGTACTCACTCTGTTGTTTTAGTTCGAAATATTGTTTGGTTCGTTATGTGGGCAATCACTCCTTTTTGAATCTGATCTGATTAACTGGTCCAATATATTTTTTTATCCAATAATGTGACAACACACAATAAAATGATAATTCCTGTGGTTTTCGTTTATACCAAATTATTAAAGTGAATGTACTCGATACTTCATTATAACTCTAACTCTTATATTCTAAAACTATAGATTTAACTTCAGTAGGAAAATTGCAGCCTTCTTAGTCGAGCGCTCACTCCTAACTGACTAATGTGTGCGTCGTTGTTTTCGCCGGTTCATTATATATCTCTTTTTCCTCGCATTCCGTCTCTCTCTCGCACATATGCTTTAGACGTTTACGCTTCTCGTATTGGCTCGTCTTACCTAGCTAAGCACGCTGACCGAAGCATGCTGTCGCAGCATGCTGCCGCAGCGTGAATCAGCCTTTGCCGCACATTCCTACCGAGTCGCGCACACAAATACTGCTAGCTATACTATGTCCGAACGGAAATCTCGGGTCCGAAATATTATTCGACAAAATACAATTATAACACAATGAAGTGTCACGTAACAGCATTACATGACGATTATCTACTTCATAATAATTGAAAACGCAATATTTCTACCAGCTTGCGCTCCCAGCTCTAAATATCCCATCATAAATTACGCAGCAAAATTTCGAATGGCGGTAGTTTTGGAAAAGAATTAGAGGCACGCGCGGGCAATAAAGCCATTGGAAAAAAACCCGAAAACCAGCAAGTGGCACGAGAGCAGCAATACTGACCGGTAGTTCAAGAAAAAAAAAAAAAATTTAGGGCCCTTTTTTTGGTCAGCAGATGCGCCCGGCAAGTAGTGCGACAGGGAATACGTGGTCAGCAGACGCGTTGCATACGCCTCATTTTTTGCCTTTGGGTCGAGTGGTCGTCGAACACCTTTACGACTTAATCCAAAGTCTGCGACGGTATACGCGTAAAAGCAATAAGCGTCAATAGAGTAAATGTAGAGCTGTTCTCGAACGTCTTTTTTTAATAGTTTTTAAGGCGATTGTAACCGCGGGATTTATGATTTTCGTGTGCGCATGTCTGTTTCTAGAATAGGTGTAAGTTGTATTAGAACAAATTTGTATTCATGTTATACTGTATATGAAATGTCCATGTAGTAATAAGAATGAAATGCGTGCATAGATAATATGTAATCTAGATATAAGGTAATCGACAAGGTGAAAAGAATAATCAACGTGCTTCTTTGTGACTACTTCGTCGTTGGCTGTCTCTCGATTCAAATTTGCATATTTTTCCTCTTGTTTTACACGTCACATAACGAAGCTTTGATCTTTCTCGCGCGTTAACGTTGCGCGACATGAATGTGCACGAGCGCCTTGAATGCGGCGTAGCGTGGCCTTGAAGCCCAATTTTATCAGCATCGGCGAGCATAGGAGCTCCCCGAGTGTTGTCAGACCTCGCGAGGGAACATTTGTTCCCGGGTATTGAAGGTCACCCAAACATACGGCACGGAAGGCTGTCAGGCCGACCGTGGGTCCATCAGGCAAGTGAACGGAAAAGCGAGCGAGCGAGAGAGAGAGAGAGAGAGAGAGAGAGAGAGAGAGAGAGAGAGAGAGAGAGAGAGAGAGAGAGAGAGAGAGAGTAGAAGTAGCTTTTGAGGCAATAAAAAGAGAGACAGAGAACGAGAGTATATCACTAATATCCGCCTAGGCGGAGCGAAGGGATGCGCGCGGCAGCGGGGCCTAAAGAGGGGACAAGAGTTGCCGAAAACTGTAGCGGACGTACGGAAAAGGAGGCGAGCGAGCCCCACGCGAAGAAAACTTGGGTCCGTGCGTACTGATCGTTCAGCTGGAAAACAGGCAAGTTGTTCCTTGTTCTTAAAGCTGTGCGCTCAGCATATCTTCGAATATCTTGTTCTTGCGTTCAGTTCGCTTAAGCGACTAATATTAAACTTTTGTAAGGCTTTTTCCTCGAGCGCCTTGAGATTTTTTTATGCCATTTTTTTTGCTTATTCTAAGTCATATTAAAAAGGTTATCTTTTATTAAAATTTCACTGAGTAAAGTTATTTTCTCAAATCCCACAATTAACAATAATCATTATGACGTAAATATGTTTTTCGGGTATCTCTTCAGCGATAAGAAATGCAACCGATTTCATGAATAATTATTGTTTCTTCTTGAAATTAATTAGAGTATTTTTTCGAATCTGTCCAATCTTCACAAGGACTGTGGTATAATATTATTCATTACAATTAACCTTTTTGCTTAACAACAATTTTTCCTTTGAAAAAAAAAACTCGGGAGCTATACTCGCAGTCCTCATTTGAACATACTCTCCTGCTTTCAAATATTCGAATTCTCCGCCGTACTTGACTCTCCACCAATAACATCCCATTTACGTTCTCTCGACCAACGATATTCAATGCTCACCAAAATGGCGGCGCTCTAAGAGCTGACTCCTTTTTATATAGAGTGTAACGTGGTGGATTAGCTAGTACAAAGGGAATTTATTAAAGCACAAACTCCCACGATGCAGAGCTAACCACCACTCCGTTAAATACATATGAGTATACAGTCGAACCTCCGCCACTGCACTCTCCGCAACTGCCCGACCTCTACCACTGCCCGTTACCTAGCTTCTCTCACTGCTCGATTTATAATTCGAGCGCAGTGCCGTATGCTCTCGGTCGCTCACCTGGCACCTGCCGGCGGCGCGCTTTTATGAGTCTGGCGCCGACGCGTCGCTCTTCAAGATGACTCCTTGTAATTTGTGACTTATGATTTACACTCCTTGTAATTTATGACTCTTGTAATTTGTGGGGGGATATGTACCTAAAGACGCGCTTTAACTTCAGTCTGTATTCAACTTTCGATGCAACACCCTCGTCCTTTTCTCCAGTTTACGTATCTCTCAGTGTCCAAAACAATTTTGTTCATTCGAGTGTATAGTTTCTGTACGTTTTGATTGTGTTTTTAAAATCAACTGGTTTTCAAGAAGTTTTCAAGATCAACTGGTAAGTTTACAAGTCTATTGTTATACTATATCTTTTATATTTAGTCTATAAAATAAAATAAGAAAACAATTTTTAAATAAGAAAAAAAAACGCTGCCAATCAATTGTCAGTTAGCTTCTTTTATTATATTTTTCGATTCTTATTAATATTTGCGTCAATTTTTTATATATTTGTTTTATTCATTTGAATTTGTACAATAATTTTTCAGATCATGGCAGCCAAGAGTTTGAACCTGTTTCAAGTAGCTGAAATCAAGCTGTCCAACAATGTCAAGATGGCTCATCTTGCCAAGGAATACAGCGTTTCTCCGTACACTATCAAGAGATTGAGCCAGGGCTTCGACTTGTCTTTAGAGGAACAATCTCCGGGGACCAGAAAACGGCAGGTCAACTTGACGGTGCAGCAAAAAGCCGCTATCGTCGCAGCTCTGGACGCCAGCAAAACAACGCAGAGTTTGGCCCAGCTCTACGGTGTTGACCCGACAACGATCAGAAGAGTAAAGTCGCAGAAGCCGGAAATTATGAAGCGCGCGCTGGAATTGGATGACAGCCAGCAGAATAAGGAATGCAAGAGGATCCACGTCGAAGAGAATTCTCGCGACATGGCACTGTACGAGTGGTTCAAACAGCAACGTTCATCGGGGACTTCAATCTCGGGCGATGTTCTGAAAGCTAAGGCCTTGGAGCTCAACAAGTTCGTTGGGGAAGCGGCTGATTTCAAGGCCAGCAATGGATGGCTAGAGAAATTCAAGAAGCGCTACCAGATTCGGCAGTTATCTATGCAAGGAGATAAGTTGTCATCCGACAACGTAGCAGCAGAGAATTTCAAGGAGACGCTGCATTCTTACTTGAAAGAGAAAGAATACACCGAGGATAAGGTCTACAACGCCGATGAGACGGGCTTATTTTTCAAGTCGTTGACGGTTGCCGCTCGTTCATACCATCGGGATTGAAGGAGCAGAAAGAACGAGTGACTGTGATGTGCTGCGTCAATGCGTCCGGATCGCATAAAATCACTCCTCTACTCATCGGCAAGTCGAAAAATCCCAGATGTTTTTCGAAGTGCGAGAGAGAGAAGCTGCCCGTCAAATACACGAACAGCCATTCAGCTTGGATGGATCGGAACATATTCTTGGACTGGTTCGAGAATATTTTCGTCAAGGAGATCCGAGCGCATCATCCGCCGCATCAGAAAATTCTTCTCCTGTTGGACAATGTACCGTCGCACCCCGGAGCAGCTGAATTGAATTGCATCGCCGAGAACGTTGAAGTGATGTTCCTGCCGCCGAACGTCACCGCTTTGATTAAGCCAATGGATCAGGGCGTCATTGAAAAAATGAAAAAAATGTTCCGGAAAAATTTAGTCAAAGCGCTAGTCCTAGAAGAAGCAACATCGGGAGCAAGCGTCATCGATTTGGCAATGAAGCAGACGGTGAAGTACTGCTGCTACCGAATTTCTAGTTCGTGGGATGTTATCAACGCCAGAGATCTCCACAACGCATGGAACAGAATTTTGGGCAAGGACGATTCTCCCTACGAAAAAAGAGCATCGGCTGAAGAAGTTAACTTGTTGTTACAACTTCTTAAGGATAGCCCAGCCTTCGTCGACTGCTCATTCGAGATGGTCCAAGCATGGATCGAGGAATATTACACTGATAATGGCTGGCAAAATTTGAACATCCAAGAAATTTTTGAAAGGTATTGTAAAAGTTTTATGTAATTATTTATATGTAATTTAAATGTGTTCATAGAAACAAATATGTACTCAAAAAACATGGTATTAATATATTTTTTTATCTATTATTTCAGAATCACGTCTAATAATCCGGAGAAGTTCGCTGAAGAAGACGAGGAGCCGATCGCACAAGTCGAAAATATAGAACCAGAGAAAGAAGTTTCCGTTGGAGAGGCCTACGATGCGGCTCTGAAGCTTCGAACATTCTTAGAGCGAACGTGGGATTCGACGAGCGCGCAGATAAGCAATGTGCAAGAAGTCGCCGATTTAATACTAAATATATACAAACCAATGTAATTTGTATGCTGAATGTGTATGTTGATTTTGTACGTTGATTTTATTTGTTGATTTTTTGTTAATTTTTTATGTTGATTTTGTATAATGTACATGATTTTGATAAAATAAAGCATAGTTAAATTTATTTATAATGTTTTTTTTAACAGAAAATTTGAAAAATTTAAACTTTATGTATGTACCTACAAACATGCATTATCACCTGATATTTTTCTAAATTATAAACAGTACATCATTTTGCTTTCTTTCACTACACTATTTTTTTTTTTGGGTAAGTTGTGTCACACCATTCGAGTAAAATGATTTACTGTGTATAATTTAAAAAAAAATTATCAGGTGATAATGCAAGCAAAATTTGTAACATTTTCTCCGGGCCCTCCTCGAGACCAGCGCGGCAAACCACTTAATGCCCGTACCTGACGGAGCGCTCTTATTGGCTAACGCCAGAGAGCCCGTAGCGAGCAGTGGCGGAGGGCACCAACTCCCGACAGCGTGCAGTAGCAGAGGTCCGACTGTATTTAAAAAAGTATGGTATATATTTTCGATGTATTTTTTGACGTAGAATCCCTGCCAATACCTATATCAATGCCAATATCTATCTAAACCTATATCAATGGTGCTAATTATTTTATCGTAAGATTTAGCTGAAAGGCGCTACAAGCGAAAAATGGTGTCTGCAGGCGGTTTTTATTTTGTTCAAGATCGTTCCACCAATTTTAAAAATCTAAAAAAAATATAGACGTATTTTTGGAGTAAAAATACACGAAATATATTCTTTCCAGAAAAGTGTTTTTCTTAATTTTCGAGAAAAAATTTTTTGAAATTTTTAAAACGCTTTAAAAATTTGAATTTGGCGCTAAAACATTTTTAGACTAAACAGTTATGAAGAACTTAAAAAAACCCTACAAAACCAAAAAGAAAATTTTTTCTAGCTTAAAAGTTGACCAAGATATCGTTAAAAGACCACAAAACACAAAACAGGCTCCCTATGTACCCCATCTTAGTCTAGGGATCTGGAAATTTGGGAAAAAGAGTTTCTATTCATACCAAACATAATGGCCGAGGTACTTTATCCGGTGACTTAAAGGCAGTTTTGAACATCTTATCTGGCTAGACCCTTTTGAAACTGTTTTTTATATAAAAGATTCTGTGGAACACGTAAAATCATGGATCAAAAATTTTTTTTTTTATTGTTCGTAATGGTTTTAAAAAAAGTTAATAAATTTAAAAATAAAAATTTGTTGTGTTCTGTTGCTAATATTTTAAAATCTTAAGGTTTTATACGTATATAAAAAAAAAATTGATTGCTATATTATTAATATTTTATAACGGAGAATTCCAGCCGTACCCGTCTGGGTTGTTCGCGACCGTCCGCACAAATTATTTATTCGGGGATTCGGGAAGCAAAATACGTTCCCACGACTGAATAACGCGTCGAGCATAAACACGTTAAACGCACAGATTCGAAGTCGGGATGAGGAGTGATACAGCGGCGAATAAACACAACAGCGGATTAATACACTAGTCTTTTAATTGTCAACAAACGATTACAATACGGCGACCTCGGACTTATACACTACGAGCTGCACAATAACAAACGCGAACGCGAAGGTGAATCGGTGGCTGGTCAGCCTGCCGATTCCCTTGTAAAAACTAAATATTATAACAATATATGCCCGACAAACACTTTCCGCCGATAGTCTACCAACGGGTAGCCAGCAGGTCTGCCATGCTACCAGCCATAAGCTGGCGCCCAAACATGCAAGAGAGAGAGACAAGAGAAAAACACGGCACCGACCTCGACCTTCAACCTCTCCGACGGCTAGAGCGCTCTGCACCGTGACGTCACTGGTGTGCTCCTCGCTGACCGTCTCGCTGGTATTTTCTTTTGTCATCGCTATCTTCCTCCTTCTCGTCCTCTCGTTCGCTCCACAATACTGCTGCCTCAACCCGTAACTCACTCGTTGATTGTTGTTGCTGTTGTCTTCGCCGCCTCCTTATCGTTCGGTACTGCAGCACGTCCAGACTGCTCGCGCGCTCACCTCGCCGGCTACCTACACGCACCGGTGCCGGGTATACTTCGGGACACGGCTGGGCGCGACCCAGCCTTACGCTCCAATACTCGTCCGCGCACCGGGCGTGTCTCCGAAACGATCGATCGTCGACAAGGTCGCGAGGCCAACTTGGAAAAACCGTAACCGTCGGTTTTATCCGCGCGAGCGACTTCCTCTGCTTATAGCTTAGCAGAGACTCCCCGAATTTTTCGAGCTCTCTCTCTCTCTCTCTCTTCTTCTGCGCCATCTGCATCGCTCCAGTCGTCAGCTTAGCCCGTGTTCAGCACCTCGTAAACAAAAGGTCCAAGCGTGAGTGTGTGTACCAAACGCACACACTCTCAGCCTGGCGCGGCGCACGGACATTTGCGAGAGCCAAACGGACGAGATCGGCCTAGCCGAGATTCTCCGTTACAATTTGAAATATAGCATTTTTAAAATTTTTCTCATTATTTTTAAGAGTTGACAACTTTTGATATAATTATTATTTTTATGTGAAAATTTGGATATATATATATATATATATATATATATATATATATATATATATATATATATATATATATATATATATATATATATATATATATATATATATATATATATATATATATATATATCCAAATATATATATATATCCAAATATATATATATATCCAAATATATATATATATATATATGTATCCTATTGCATTAAAGGTGAAGGACTATCTATGTAACTCACTCTCTCTCTCTCTTTCTCTCTTTCATAAAATTATCTAATTAATGCGCGTTTATGTACGTTCATCCTCGCACAATTTCTATCCTCATTTGGCTATGAGACACTATTTGTCTTGTAACAAAGTAATATAATAGAAAAGTTTTCTTGATCACTCATATATTCTTCATTATGACTAATAGTTTCAAATGGTTTCAGCTGGCAAAGTATTGTGACTCGCTACTAAAAAAATCAGCAAAAATAGCATCTGAAAGTGAAGTGGAAGATAAATTAGCTCGTTCAATAATAGTATTCAAGTATGTTGATGATAAAGACGTTTTTCAAAAATTTTATGCACGTATGCTTGCCAAAAGACTTATTCACCAACAATCTCAGTCTATGGATGCAGAAGAAGCAATGATTGATCGATTGAAGCAAGCCTGTGGTTATGAATTCACGAACAAATTGCATAGAATGTTCACGGATATGTCGGTATCAGCAGATCTGAATACTAAATTCAGTGCAAGTTTACGAGGTAAGGAAGGTGAATATCATCAAACTGGTATTGGTTTTACGGTGTATGTTTTACAAGCGGGTGCTTGGCCATTAGGTTTACCTCCCTCACCAGGACCGTTTCATGTTCCTCAACAGCTTGAAAAATCAATACAAGCTTTTGAATGTTTCTATCACGCACAATTTAGCGGCAGAAAACTTACATGGCTTCACCACTTGTGCCAAGGAGAATTAAAATTGAATTATTTGAAAAAATCTTATTTGGTGACAGTACAGACATATCAAATGGCATTATTACTTTTATTTGAACATTGTAACTCAATATCATGTAAAGAAGCAGCTGTCTCTCTACGATTATCTCGTGACCAATTAATTAAGCATGCCATCAGTCTTGTTGATAGTAAAATTTTGAAAAAATCTACTGAAGGAGTCTTAGAAGATAATACCGTTCTCATACTAAATTTTGAATACTATAATAAAAGAACGAAATTCCGTATAACGGGTGCTGTTCAGCGTGATGCACCTCATGATACGGAAGCTACGCATCGTAGCGTTGATGATGATCGCAAATTATACTTGCAAGCTGCTATTGTGAGAATTATGAAAAGTCGTAAAGTTTTACGCCATAATCAGCTAGTACAAGAAGTAAGCATTTTGAATTTTTCCAAAAATAAGTTTATCTTCAATCTTCTTTTTTTAAATATTTTTTAGGTTCTTGGACAATCTAAAGTGACGTTTGCTCCATCTATTGGTATGATAAAAAAATGTATTGAAAACCTCATCGATAAACAATATATTGAACGTACATCTAACACTGCAGACGAGTATTCTTATGTTGCGTAGCTCTAACTTAAAAGCATCAATTTATGAAATTCTTAAAAAAATGTGCTTACGTATGAAGAGTCGACAGAGATATCAAATCCACAGCAATATTTGCTACATTTAAAATATTAATAATTTTGAAATATGTTTTACATGAAAATAATTAATTTATATTAAAATTATTATACACGAAAATTATTCTAGAAATCTATTACGTATATCAAAACATCTTTTCATATTGTATTAGATACATTATAACTTGTTGCACTTCTAGGAGTCTTTTACAAGCGGTTTCCAATCTTAATAAGATCTTTTATTAAGTAGAAAGTGGAATATTATCATAATTTTTCTTTTAACGAGATGAACAATTAATAAAAAGGATGTTCTGTTATATCTTCAATAAGGCAATAGTCTTCCTTAAGGAATTCAGTTAATATTGCTTTTTTAGCTGTCTTAATTGTCATATTTTTGGATAGTAGAGTATTTGGAAATATATTAAATTGTTCAAAATATGAAAGATAATTACAATATATGAATAAAAAGAATAAATAGATTTGAAAATTATCAATTTTATTCGAACATAACTTTTTAATAAATTCATTTATAAAATTAAATATTTATTTGATGAATATTGACAGTTTCGAAGAAAGCAAGCACCTGAGACCAGCAAGAGTGCTAAGCGCTATGCCATCGAGTGTTACATATGGCAAAAATATCATCTATTGTCATTGCAGGGTTCAATAAATTCAAAGGTTTGTATTCGATCAGAATTTTTTTCGTATGTTCGCGTATATCTTTGGAATCAATAGAAACAGGTTCATTTGAAAGAGTATTGAATTGAAAATATTATTTAAAAATCATATTATAAATTATAATCATGCAGGTCAATAATAATTACTTTAATAATAATAAAATAACAGATACTAATGCACATGCATACAAAGAAGAATAAAGAGACTTTTTATATCGTTTTTACAGATAAAATTAATCTGTAACTATAACCCCGTATTTTTAAGTATAAAATGCCACATACTGTATAACGATAATAATCAAAATTAGATATTGTAGACTTAAACATAACTTAATATAAGTAGTATGATATTATCAGAATGATTTTTATTAAAACTGTTTTGGAGATGAAATATAAACTCTGTTATTTTTAATCTATATTGATATATATGGCAGTATCTTTTTAAGGAAATATATATAATATTTCAAATTTGTCGATTTAGGGAGGACATGGAATTTTTATATATTATTACTTCATTTTCCTTTGCTAATTAAACAATATAATTTTGACGAATAAAAAAAAATTAGATTTACAATATTAGTATTATATTCTGAAACATAACTTGCCTCTTCCTTAATTAGTTAGTGAGATTCTAAAATGAGATTTTAATAGATTTTAAATGTTTCATCCTTCCTCTTTAACTAGAATCCTCGATACCGATATAACAGTATACACAGTATTTTAATTATAAATAGCATTCAGTAACAGTCCCAAATAAGTATTAAATTGATTTTTTAAAGAGTTTGTTGTATAAAGTAGTTCATTGTGCGTGTTGCTATTTTAGCTAACTGTTAGATCACTATAATTATTTTAACCGATAGCTAAGTAGAATATCAATTGTTAACTAACTCGTAGTAATGGATAAATGTGGGCATCTATACGAGGTCTGTGCCAAAAATATCCAACCTACCTCGATTTATCGCTGCTTGATTTAATCTCCAAAGTAGTCCTCATTTGATTGAATAAGACGCTTCTATCGATGATTCCACTTATTATAGGACTCTTTAATAGGGAGGGAGAGAGGGGGTTGATTGGCGGATTCTTAAGCGAGGGAATTCACGGGAATCGAGAGAGAAATCAGAGGAAGAGCCAAGAAAAAAGTCAGAGAAAAGATCCAGCCAAAAAGCAGGAAGATAATCCGTAAAGAGGTGGAGAGAGAGACCGAAGAACGTTTGTGTTTCTGAGATACCCAAAATACTCTATGGAAGGGCAGTGCCGTGAAGCTCTAAAACACGAGTTTAACACACATCCATCACTGCTATGATAAAGGCCGCCAGGAGGTCCTGGCAAGGTGACCCTCATTTCAATCTTCGAGACTAGACCGGTGTCATCCCTCGAGCGCCTCTGCCAGTTAGGCTGCACTTCCGTCGCCTCCAGACTGTCATCGGCGAGCGGAGTACGACGGAATCTGGTGAGATGCTCTCCAGAGCATCTAACTTTCTTTTCTCTCTGCACCAGCTCTCGCTCAGAACTTCGCGGCCATAATTTTATCTATTTGCTATTTATCGAGAACTCTGAGCGAATTTGCTCGTATTCTTTTCGCCGAAATTGCGCTCGATTGTCGCGTTTCCGCGAGTAAACGAGTACGCTCACTCTTTGTAACTTCTGTATTAATTCGAATTTGATTTATTTGTTGATCGGGTTTTGGTATGTGAACAAGTCCGCTTACTCACCTTATAGTTATTTATTTAATTTTATAATTGATATTATTAGGCGTAATAAAGAGATCGCCGTTTATACATATTTATATGAAATTGATGTATAATGTTTCTCAATTGCCTGACCTCAATTTTTCAGCTATTTGCAATGAATTTGTGTTTATGGGAGTTAGCGCCGACTTCCTTAACCGAGATAGGATCCAAAAATCGTGGAGCATAGCTATGACGCACCGTAGCTATTGAGTTTTCCCCTTGCAGTATAACGTAGTTTATTGTACGTGTTGCTATTTTAACAACTATATCGAGACTGTATGGAGGCTGTCGAAGCTGCGCGATATTGTGTTTTAATAAATACTGCTGCGCAAGGTTTAATGCGTGCGCTGGAAAATTGTCGTGATGAAGAACGCAATCACCATTTCCCAAAGTTACGGTCGTTTTCTCCTGATTACGTCACGAAATCTTTTCAAAACTTCAACGTAGTACTTTTTGTTGATTGTTTGGCCTATAGAAGTATATTCGTGGTACACAATGCCCTTATTATTGAAAAAAAAAATTGATATTGACTTGATGTTGCTTTGACATTGACGGGCTTTTTTCGGCCGAGGCTCGGATGGAACTTCCACTAGGAAGATTGTTGTTTTGTTTTCATGATTCATCAGTAGTAATAATTTTTTTAAGAAAGTTTTCAACACTATTGATCATTTCTAAATTGTTCTGAGCAATTTCTAATCGAAGGTTTTTATTTTTATGCTGGTTTGAGAGTAGTTTCGAGATGAATGTTTTACACACACGAATCATTCCCAAATTGTCGGCTGAAATTCGCTACAGTATTTTTTGGTATTTCTACTTCGTTTTTCAGTTCTCTGACAGTCAAAAGACGATCTTGTTTAACTGTGACACGCACGCGCTCGACATTATCCGATAATGTTCCAGTCAAATGTCGATCAAAACGAGGATTACTGTCAACAGATGTGCAGCCACTTTTTAACCGCCTATACCACTCTTTTAATTGTGTTTTGCCTATACACTTATCTCGAACCCTTCGACAGGCCGAAGGCACTGAGCTGAATCAAAATCCATCATTAATTGCAAAATTAGTTTGTTTAAACAATTTTTATAAACAAATTATTGCAGAATTAAGTTTTTTTGTGAATTTCATACCAGAATCGGATTCTACGGGAAAAAATATGTCCGTTAAAGTACTTTTAATTGTTAAATTCTATTTGTTTATTAACAAATTAAATAAAAATTAATTTTACAATTATAATACAGCTATTTATGTCTATAAGGAAACAAATAAATTTACGCACACGACATGTATCCAATAAAGAGATATGACAAAATTAGCACGCTGCCACCAATTCTTATTACGTGGGTCAGTGAGGCGCTTTCGCTCACGATAATTGAGGGAGAAAAGAGAGGAAAGGTCATAAAATAAATAACGCAACCTAAACGTAGATTCAACTTACGACTTATTATTATTTACGAATCTTCACATCAAAATACACGCACGTACTGTACAATCCTAAATTATAACTGACCGACGTAAAGAGAGACTAAATGTAACCGCGACTAAATATTTTATCTTTATTCCTAGTCAAATAATCTTTTACGCACTTATTCTACTACAAAATTACTTAAAGTTACGAGAAACCGACATCGGATGAATTGTCCGGCACATGAGCGCCTTGACAATCCATCGCCATCTTACTATACAACTTACATACAACAATTAAAAAGAACAACGCAAATTAAACTAACGCAACCATTCGTCTTTCTCGGCGTAGCCCGTGGTGAACCCACTGAAAGTCGTGCCGTGTACGGTGGCGAGGGCGACACTGAATGGCCTGCTGCAGGTGTTGTCGCCACACGTAGCCTCGTCTCGCCCTGGTCTGGTCACTGCTGCACGTGTACTTCTTTTTCTCTCTTTGCGCTGTTTCTTTTTTTTGCTACTTCCAACTTCTCTCCTTAACTTTCTTCCGGGAACTATGTCACGCGACTTGACGGATGGTCAGCGTTTGCACTCTCGCCGGGCTCTCCCACCAAGCCCACTCATTAGGCGGCGTGCGACAAAAGCGCTAATTGGTCGCGCGTCACACGCCGGCCCAAACCTGCATAGTGCGTGCATAGGCGCGCACTCTAGCATGCTCGCTAACTCTCTCTCTCTCTCTCTCTCTCTCTCTCTGTCTCTCTCTGTCTCTCTCTCTGTCTCTCTCTGTCTCTCTCTACCTCATAGTCGCTGCGCTCTTGCTTCTTCGGGCGCTCTCAATCTTGCTCGGCAATCTTCGGCGGCTGGAAAACATAAAGGCCAGTGGTTAGGCGCAATAAATATATGCGCCCAACGCTGACCACGTCGCCATGCTGAGCGATAAGAGGGAGAGAGAGAAGGAGGGCAGACGAGGAGCAAGCGTGCTACTTGCTCTCGTCACAGATCGAACAGATTCAACGGCATAAATATCTCTTTTGAACAGTAGTTCAATCAAGTTTACAGATGTGAAATAGTTGTCGAAACCAACTACGTAAATGTCCACCTCTTAAATTTTGTAAAATTAGATTCAATACCAGTCGCTTACCAAGAGGGTCTTTTGTTGCTTTACTATATGATTTACCAGTATAAACTTCAGATTTCATAATGAAACCTGTTTTAGAAACAGCCAGACACCATACTTTGAAACCTAGTTTTATGGGCTTCATAGGCATGTATTTTTTTAGAGATGATCTTCCTGAAAAAGCAATCATAGATTCATCAACAGAGAGTTTTTGAAAGATTATATACTTCAGAGTAGGTAAACGAGGAAGGCATCAGCTCAGGAGGGTATCAGCTCACTGAGCTGACTTCCCTGAGCTAGTGCCCGTGCATCTTCAACTCAGCACTGTGAACTCACCTCTCCTCCTTTTACGTACTTCAGAACTGCCGACTCACCCCCCCCCCCCTGAATTGATGCTGATCGGCACTTTTGACTCCCCCCCACTGAGCTGACCGTGCGTTCTATGTTCGGCACTGTCGACTCACTTCCCCTCCTTACTGAGCTGACCGTGCGTTCTATGTTCGGCACTATCGACTCACCTCCCCCCATTATTATTAATT